CTCTTGTTAGAGGTAGCCTGTATAAACATGAAGGCTAGGCGTCACGTCAGTTCATCAAGCAGGATATCAGAAGCTATAATGCTTGAGTATCTCACAATAATGCCTGAACAAAGATCAAATGTCATTCGGAGCCATGCTAGGTTTAGCTGAGACGTTACGACAGGAAATTAGACACAAAATCTGACCTGTGTTCACTAAGCAGTGGTATGTTTCAACAGAATTTCCCTAAGGACCAGGTCATACATTTCGAAAACCACTCAGCGAAGAACTGATGAGCAGAGCTGTGAAGTTTTAATTCTCCCGATCTCGCACTATTCCAGTGCTGTTTATTCTTATCGGTGCTGCGTAGTTCATGGAAGGGAATATTCGGAAAAAATTGAAGGGGATCAAGAGAAAGAGCAGGTCCGAAGATAATAGGGTTCAATTCGGTTTTTCAACACGTTTTTCAATCCTTGGAAAGAGAAACACGTCCATGCTCTTGAAGAAAGTGCATACTAATTTGACTCGTGAATTACTTATTCGAGTCGGAGGATTTTGCTCGTGCGGCCCAAAACCAACCTTCGTGCAAAGAACTTTACTTTTCAAGCGGGTAGTCGTTACTTGCAGCTAGCTAAGAATAAGCCATCTGACTTATCGCTAGCTCAGTTCAAGCATCGGGTGGGGGGGAAATCTTGCTGAGATATGAAGTAATCTAGCGTCTTATGAGACTGATTATCATGAGTTTTAAGTGGTGCCTAAAATTTTATTGATTTTATCTGTTCTTGTGAAGTTTCGCGTTCGATTTACCTTATTGTTGTATTATTCGACCTTGTTTACTTATCAAGTGATGCGTTTCTAACGTTTCGCCTTTAGCGGACGTAATGAACATAGACAAGTCGAAACACTAGGAAATATGTAACCTTGCAGTGGAGAAAAGAGCAAAGGAAAGGCAAAAACGCTCTGAATAAAACCCCTCTCACATCCAATTTCTGTTAAAAGTAGTTAAGAGGAGAATCGCGCTTGGCCGAAACTAACGACAGGGAACGAGAGAGGATAGAGGGACGCAGAAAACAATGGACTGCCTCAGTAATCACAAGTACCACCTTCTCTAGCGTCTACGCACCTTTTCAACAGCTTCGCTTATTTTATAATAGGACCACGCGGTTCCACGCGGTCCATATAACAAAATTTCTCACGAATACTTTGTGGTGGACCGGAGGCCTAATGGGTTCACATGTTTGCGCAAAAAATGCAATTTTCCCAATCTACGCAGAAGTTCAAATACTAAGATTAGGTTAGGTCACGAGTGTTATGCGGCGGTCGAAGCCTGGTGGCACCCGACAGGAGGCCTCGTCGCGCGACAAGAAGACGGAGGCAAGCGCAGGGTCAACCGTCACGTTCGAACATTTTCGGGATTTTTGCGACCCCCTAGCTCTCGAGGGGTCCAGTTGCGACCCCCTGTTTTTGTTAATAAGAGTGCTAGACATGAATCCGTTGCGCCAGAAAGCGTCTGCGCGTCGTCGCGTCGGCCGTCGAAGCGGAAAACCCAAAATTCTAAGAAGGCGCACCTTCAAATTTGAAGGCCCATAAAATCTTTCGTATGCGACATTTTGGAAATCTGTAAAAAGTTTCAGAAACTTCAAATATTTCTCTAACAAAATAGTATAAAAAGTTTAGTGATTGTCCCCTTTTTCAAAAAATTGTCCCGTTCGAACATTTTTCGTGCAAAAGCGAGTTTTTGGGCTTTCAGCGACCATAACTCACTTCATTTTCATTTCTGTGATGCACTTTTTTCATGGGGTGAAAGTACAGGATTTGCTCTTTCTAACAAGCACCAACCGTTTTTCAAAATCATTTTTCGAGAAAATCACACGTTCGAACATTTTGGGGGGTTTTGCCGAACACTTTTTTTGAAATCGCGAGTTTTTGGGCTTTAAGCGGGCATAACTCACTTCATTTTCATTTCTGTGATGCACTTTTTCCATGGGGTGAAAGTGCAGGATTTGCTCTTTCTGACAAGCACCAAACCGTTTTTCAAAATCCATTTTCCGAGAAAATCACACGTTCGAACATTTTGTTCCCATAGGTTTTTGAGCAGCACATGCGAGTTTTTGAGCTTTCAGCAATAATAACTTCCTTCAAAGAACTTGTTGGGGAGGGGAAGACATTTTTGAAGACTACGAGATTTCTGCTTTCTTATGTGTTTTACCGTTGTCTGGAAGAATCGTCCTCAGAAAATTAGGTCCCGAAGAACTTTAATTTCAGCCCCGAGAAGTCAAACCTTTCATAGGGATGCATTCAACTGTTCTTTATTCCTCAAGGAAAACACCGTAATTTGCCTAAAACTGTCTCTCTGTGCATAATTAATCGAATCTAATGCGGTCTGCACAAACAATTCTTGCCCTCGGATACGCCACGCACGCGCCTGTGGCTGGCAGTCCTCGAAATTGCGACCCCCTTCCGACCAAAATGCGACCCCTTCGTTCGAACAGTTCGAACGGACGGTTGACCCTGCCCCTGATGCAGCGTACCAGTCGCAGTGCGTAATGTGCGATGTAACGTACAATGGCACATTCTATTCACTATGTCTATCCTTGTTTATTATCTTTATTTATTTACTTGACGTAAAGTCACTAAAATCGCGATGCGACTCGTCCGTTGCCTCGCAACGCGCGACGGGCCGCTTGTCGGGTACTCGGAGCCTGGAGGCATAGGCCTACTTAGCTGATTTTGGGCCACTTGGATGAGGTATTCATCTCCGAAGGATCCTTCCCCCACCCCCTTTCCGGAATTAACTCCGCAAGATGATAAGTCAGTGAATGGTTCACAGCCTTAAGGCCCGACCGTCAGCTTGAGAATCCAGCGGGAGTCTAACATCGGCCTAAGGTAGTCGTTTGTTCTTTGGTGATGGTGGATGCGCAGCAGTGGAATCATCTTCGCGGTGCTAACTTAGTTGGGGGGGGGCACGCGGCGGCGCGGCAGTCTGCTCACCTGGGCTCTCTCGAGCGAGACAGTGTAAACTCGAACATTCCAGCTTTTCACGCATGTCAAGTGACTGCCCCCACCCCCACCCCCCTAGACTGCCTACACTCCCCCTGGCCCACGGATTTCCGAACATGCCAGGCGAGCAGACTGCCGCGCCGCCGCGTGCCCCCCCCCCAACTAAGTTAGCACCCCCGCGCACGTCGCTTACCTGGGTTCGAATTAAGTGCCATAAATTTCGAGAACATCCTCGTCGAGGTCATGGGGCTTCCGTAACCTGCTGCACACAGTTGGCTGGTCAAGTTGACACCGTTCTGTTGTATTGTCACCGTACATTGTTACATTGACGTCCATTTAAGTTCAACGTTCAGTACGATTGGCAGGAAGATCTTTCCGCCTCCTAGCTTTCGTCTCCTAAGACGTTGAATTAACGTAACCCTTTAATTACGACCAGAATTGGCATTCGCATGTTCTTCGCTTAACCGTGTGTCCGTAAAAACCATGTTTTCTGGGTAAATGCTTCGCTTTCAGATTTTTTGAAGAAAGTGCTTTATAGTTGTATAGTCATTCCTTTCACAAATTATCAAGTTATATGGCCGTTTCGTTCAATCTAGACCATAGTCTATTTTTGGAAGAAAGGGAATAGGCCGAGAGGCAAGTTAATTATTTGCCTGGGCCGGATATGAAACAGTCACGTGAGTGCGCTTTTCATTTACGACATACAACCCGTTCTCTTTTAATTGGTTTTATTGGCGATCTCAACGAGACTTTCCAGATCGGTTTGTTAAAAGAAGTGTAAGCACTAGCAGTGATGAAGCTGATCCACCAGACTTACGAGATCCTGAGAAACCTGCTGGCGTTCGGGATTGGGATTTCTCAGAGCAGGTTCGGCCCTCTCCATTGCTTTTTATCCGTCTCGATTGTTGTCTTATGCTACTAATGTCGACTGACTTTTTTCGTTAAAACGTCGTTGATAACAAGTTTTTTTGAGAGCCCCGAGTAAATGCACAATCCAATTATGAGTGCTGCCGTTACTCACGGTGTGGAATTCCTGGTAGAGGGAATTCTTGAAGCTGTCAGTTTTGCAGGGAAAGTAGAATGGGAACACCTATATATAGGAATTGAATGAGTGGATTCGCTTTTTCATTCGAAGAACTGTTGCTGAATCCCTGGAATTTTTAGTAGAGCTAGATGCAAGCCTCACTTGTGTCATGCTTCCGTGTCCGAGGATCATTGGTGTGTAAAGGGCCTCACGAAGTAGGGTATGTCTTTGAGAGAGATATAGCGATAGTAAGGAAGTAGCATCTGCTAATTTTCAACAGAGAAAAGGTTTCCAATAAGGAAGGCGCGGTCATGGCGTCTGAAGGCACCTCTTTAAATTCGTAAATAGTGAAAAGGAATATCTTCCGAAGGGGCAGCTCGCATTCCTGTGGGTCGTAAGTTTTTGTTCTCAGTGCACACTGATCGATGCTTTTTCTTGTTTACGTAAATTCAGTGCACACTGATCGGATGCTTTTTCTTGTTTACGTAAATGGAAATAATATTGTTGATTGACCTATGTAGCGAACAGTCCAAGAATGCTGCCAATTCTTGGGTAACTCGGCTGAGCGCAAGATTCAATGGATTAACACAAGTAGTATAGTCAGTCCGATGCCATGGCAACGATTGCCTCACAAAGTGTTCGAGCTAAAAAAATTCGGTTCAGTAGACCAGTTTTGTGCTTTCAGCTGTTCTTGTTTTGGTGATAGTCGGAAAATTTGACCATGGTTCCTCAAGGTATACTTAGCATGTCCTAATGCGACAAAATAACATCGTGTTCCCTCAGGAGACATTTTTCAAATTTTAACTGTGACACGGTTTTTAAGGTCATGACATGGGTTTCTGTGACTTCAAGAGGATCACGAACGACAGTCACCTCTGCATGGGATAGTCAAAAACTGTGAGAGTATCTATAAGTTTTAGGCTCCCTCTGCGTCGAACTCCGACGTGGAAGCGCCGCTAGGATGGCTGTCGCAGTGCTATGTGATCACCTACAATTCTTTGGATTACATGCTTCTGCTCAATCAGCAACGATTTGCTTTATTAACAAGGTTGGTATCAGTGGCTCTATTCATTCTTAAAGCTTGTGGTCATGTTTGGCTATAATTTAATCTGATTAATTGATAACACACCTAACGTCAGGTCAGCATCGGACGATAGTCAGTTTGAAATTGGATGCCTCAAGGAATTAGATTATCAGTTAGGATTTGCAAAAGACGTAAGTTGTTGATTTATTTATGAACATTGGAATGGTGGCACATCAGGCTTCAAGCGATAGCCAATCCCGTATGAACAATCCCAGACTTTAAAATATAATTTCCAGGACAACATAACATGTGGTTGCCTGTTCGGACTAGGTACTCACCGTGTTTCCGAGGCTCTTGATTGTCTTATAGTGGCCGTTGGAATGTCTAATGGTCACGTGGTTTTCTTCACTGAAAGAGGTTGTTTCTTCTACTCTCTTCCTACTTTGAGGTCTATTTTCTGGAGATTTGGGGTTGAGGAAGTAATCCTTTCATCTTTAATTATATTTTCTAATTTTAACTGCTTTGAGATGAGGTGTATTTGTTATATATGTGAGTATTTAAAAGAAAGTGTGCTGGCTCCCAGACAATACCTAACCATTTGGGCGCGGCCGCGGCGAACGCGGCCGAGTCGATTGTGCCCGCGAACCGTTGAAAACGCACTCGAGGTGCCCGCGAACTGTGCTGTGCTGAGTTCGCGGGCACCTATCAACTCGGCCGCGTTCGCCGCGGCCGCGCCCAAATGGTTAGGTATTGTCTGGGAGCCAAGTGTGCTTCAAAGGAATGAACACAATAAGACGTTCCCTCGACTGAAGCTATTACAATTTATTTTGTAATTCAGGTGTCCTTCTCTTTGACGAACAATTTTCTGAATCGGAAATCTATTACGTCACATTTGACCAAACGGAAGAAAGCCAACAGTTGACTGTAGTGACATCTGTAGATTTCTTCGCTGTCGACCCAATCAGTCTTCATTCCACGCTTTTAAAAGCCAAATCTGCCGTGCGTTTCCAATTTTTCTATCGCTGGTGTAATTTGTTTCTGATTTCTTCCTTTACAGATAGCGAAATGTGAGAAGACTGCGGAGGAGCTGTCCAAAACTTTAGAAGTTGACATCGACCGATTAAGACCTGAAAGAGGGTCCGCGATGTAACTGTGCATTTAATGTTGCTCTGTTTAACTCCTAAAAACTTTAACACTTTAGGTCAGTCTTCTTTTGAGCAGTACTCAAATGCTTCAATGACGTCATATAATGTGGTTTCTTAGTTTTTGTGTTTTGCCTTTGGTTTGATGAATTCCTATTGTTTCAAAAATGGAAAAAAATGAAAGCTGTTCAGGAGTCTATCAGCAGCGCAGCGCTTCCACCCTACTACACATATATGTACACATCTGACAAAGTTTTTTCGACTTTTGCATGGACCAGCGATGCGGACAAAAAGAAAATTTGGCAAGAAGCGATCAAATATGGCAAATCTGTTAGTCAATGAATCCAAGTTTTTTTTTCAGTTTTTATTTGGTTTGCTTATAGTTTGTACCACATTTTGGACTTCGCGATATGCTCGGGTTTTCTACATCACCGAGAAAAAAGACCGCAGTGTCGCAGCCGTCTCGTGTGATTACAACCCGTGGGACATTAGACGATTCCAGGCTTGCTGTAGAAACAGCCGTGGAAGTATCGAGAGGGCTGGTGGCTATTGTGGATCACATAGCTAGGGTTATATTAATTGATGTGAGTCTCTGCATGTATAGATCTTTCTCCAACAGAATTCTATTATACGCTTTCATTTTTACGATCGTTGTACTTTATGTGGGTATCGAGCGTGCGATCGTGAGCAGGCAGCTTCCAGTCACTATGTAGAACGTTTCTAAGGGATGCCGGCTTGTGACCACGCGCTTATTGTTTTAATTCACCTGCTGGATTTGGTCTGATTGCGTGGCCAGAAGATGGATCCCTGTGAACTTATGCTTGGCTATACAGCTGTTCAATTTTGGGCTACAGTTGCCGCTTTTCGGCCGCTATTTCATGTCTTTCACATATTTTTTGCCTCAGTTTTTTATTATGTAGTGGCTCGTGGCACTTTGTGCCGTGTTTTTTAATGTATATAAGAGCGTTTCTTGTGCTCATGTGCTCATTATGAGTCTAGAAACCTTTTTTATACACATCTTGACTCTCATCTTGACAACGGCGGGCTTAATTTCTCACTGGGCATTCACCTTTAAAAGCCAGCGAACATGGAACGTACGAACGATTTTGGCGCTGTCCTTCCCCTTGATCTACATAGTGCCTGCAGCTCCTGTTGAAAAAATAGAAAAGGACTTAACTTAATGTTTGACCCTTAGGTGGAGTTGCTAATAGGCATTGAACCTTTTCGTCCGTAAAATATCTCTGATAGATTATTCAGAGAATGCCATCGGTGGATACAGTGGCTGTTTGTTCTAATTTATGTTTCAGATTGTGAACCGACAAATAATTAGGATATGGAAAGGTTACCGAGAGGCTACTGTTGCGTGGATTAATTCGTCAAACAACGAACAAACTGCGCTGTTTCTTGCAATTTTCGCTCCACGCCGGGCCCTGCTTGAAGTTTGGAATGTACAGGTATATAGTACTTGCTACTGATTTGTTTTACATCAATTTTGACGAGTTGCGGATTTTTTTCACGGAGCCTTTCAAAGGGGCTTTGCACTGCCCCTCTTTCTATGATCTTGGCAAAAGTCACCTACATACTCAAAAGGAACTCTAAAGTATCGCGCTGGTGGATAAATTTTACACACGATTTGAGTCCTCAATGTTTGAAAGAGTTACAGAGCGGAGTCAGGGTCGGTGCTATACACGTAGACCCAGCAGGAGTTTTGATAGATGGAGGAGTCGCTTCCGTGTTGTGTGGCACCCA